AGGGAAACTCTGCTCCGAGGCCCCCGGAATCGCCCCCGGGAACTGCCGAGGGGTGAGACCCTTGTGTGAGTGTCCGAATCTCGCCGGGATAGAGGGCGGCAGGGGGATGGGAAGAGGAGCCGTGTGCCCGAATTACTTGAAATTCGGGACTCTGCTCTTCCCGGCGCCTTAATTTCGGTCGGTTCAGTTTTCTGCTGGAGCGTTTGCGGTAAATCTGTGCCGCTCGGTGCCGGGATGCGGCTCCGCTCTCGGGGGGGAGCGCTGGGAGATGCTCCCGCCCTCAACAGGTGCCTCGGCTCCCACAGCACCGAGTTACACCCTAAACCCATCCCTGGAAAGGACTGAAAAGTGGATTTTCCCGGCGGGAAGAGCCCTGGATCGAAAGGCTCCGGGGAGGAAACACGGAATGGGGGATGAGGCTGCCGTGGCCTCGATTGTGGAGGGACCTCTTGGAGCATCCCCTGGGATAGTGGGAAGGACAGAGTGTGCCGGGCCTGGTGCTCCTGGAGATCCAGGGATTGGGCTGGAAATAGTTACGGCCTGGTTTAAGGAGAATTTGGCTCAAAGGGAATTTCCTCAGTTCAGCTGCCGAGAGGACCAAGTTTATTGTCAGTGCTCCAGAGCGGGTCCTTAGAGAATCCCTGTCATTCCTGGGAGCAGAGGAATTGATAACTAGGAGGGATGATGATGATGATGGGGCAGAGCCTGGATTTGGTGAAGCTGCTACGTTTGTGTTGGAGACTTTTTCAGCTTTTATCCCTCTTGGAGGTGTCGTTCCAGTGGGTTCCTCAGCCCCAAGCTCAGGATGATCTGGGTGTTGGGAGGAGCCCGGCTGTGTTTGGAGCACCGGGAAGCTGTGGGAGCTCTGGAAAACAGGATAAAGCTGTTATTTGAAGCACTTTATAAAAGCAGGACGACTTCTGTAACTCTCACTGTGACTCTCTCAGCCCGCCCTGACTCCTGAAGCACCAATGTGATTTTAGGAACCCTTTTTCCCAGCTGGAAAAGCTCTGCTTGCAGGGATCATGTGCTGTCCTTTTGGGTTGTGCCAGAACTCTGCTGGAGGCTCCTGACCCTGTGATGGTGAATCTCCCTGGAGAGCTGCTCGTACCACGAGGTGCGACCGCGGTGCCACATCCGGCCTGGCTGCAGCTGCCTGTCCCATCTGTGTCCCAAATATCCCTGTTTTTCCCCTCTCAGGCTTCCTCCTGCACCCACAGCACCCTTCCTTCGGGCTGAGGGAGCTGGGGAGCTCATGGGGTGTCCTGCACCATCGGTTTTATGGGGATTAACTGGGGTTTGGGCTTTGCTGATGGAGTTTCTGTGATGGTGGCGATAATGATGATGATGATGATGATGAGTCAGGTTGATTCCCACCCTGGATGAGGTGGGAGCTGCATGGTCTGTGTCCATGCAGCCCCTGGTGGGAGCTTAGTGAGCACAGCACAGGTGTCAGGTCAGGTCGGGTTCAGCGCAGTCCCGCTAATCCCGGCGCGGCTGTTCCGGCGGCGTTAGGTAACCTGCCGGGCCAGGACCGGGGTGTGGGATGGGATGGAGGCAGCTCCCACCGTCCTGGGGAGCAGGAGGAAGCCAGGAACCTCCTCCAGGACCTTCAGGGCCTGCTTGCTTGGAGCTGAGCCATGGGAGAAGCTCATTTTCCTCATCCCTGCTCCGTTAGGGCTCAGGTTGGGGCTGCTCCTCCGTCCCACCTGTGGGTCCTTCCATGGGCCTTTCCCTGGAGCCAGGGGTGCTGCAGGTGTCCCCAGTGTCCCCCTCCTTAGCCCTGAGCGGTGCCAAATTCCAGGGATTTGGGGGATTTGGGTTTGGGGATTCCATACAAGTCCACTGGCTGCTCTGCTCCTGCAGCTTCCTGGTGTTGGGAGCAAAAACATCAGGGTGGGTCTGGCAGGATCAAACCTCCTGTGGATTTGGGCAGCTCCTGCCTCACCTGCAGGTCCCCAAGGGCTCTGGGGGTCCAGCCTGGGGGTCCCTGTGTCCCCACAGGGCCAGGGTGTGGCAGAGGGGCCGGGCAGGGAGCAGAGCCCTGGGAGTGGAGTTCTGGCTCCCGACTCGGTTCCTGCAAAACATCACGTGGCAGATCCAGGGGAGAGACGTCAGAGTTTGCTGCTCCTAAAATATTTCTGGAAGTACCTTTATAAACACCCTGGAGCCACCGGTCGTGGCTGACCTGGAGTTGAGATTTGGCCCTTGCAAAGACGTTTATTTTCTGTTTCTGCAGCAGATGTTCAGCACGATGGAAATCTGGCAAAATAAGGGAACCAAAGCCCCATAAATCCAGATCCTGGAACTTCCAATGGGTCCGGTTTTGCTGCTCTGCAGTTGGTTCTGGTGAAATGCTTCAGCTCAATGTTTTTGGTGGTTTATTTCCCCCCACAGTGGAGCTGAGGGACATTGAGCTCTTGGACCTTGTGTCCTCTGGAATTCCTCCCTCAATCTCCTAATTCCCCCGATGGCATCTGGGCAGGGAGTGTGGTCCTGCTCCCGCAGGGCCGGGATGCTCTGGGATGCTCCTGCTGAGTCCCTTCCCAGACCTGGCACTTGGAGTTGCTCTGGAAGAGGCCTTGAGGGAGCTGTGGGGGGTTTTATGGCTTTCTCCTTGTTTTAGGTGGGTGTTCAGTGTTAAAGGTCTGAATTCCTGTCGGGAAGGGTTTGCAGGCTGCAGGGATTGGCTGAACCCGGCTTTTCCCTTCCTGCCCCGTTCCCAAAGGCGGAACGGGGCAGATTCCCACTGCCTGGAAGGCTGGAGGTCGGTGTTAGTGCCAGGAGGGTCCACTGGAACGTTGGGATGAGGCTCTCCCTCCATTCCCATGGGTGTGTGACCATGGAACACTTTGGGTGAGGCTCCAGCTCCTTCTGGTCCGAGCAAGGGGTGACTCTGGGATGGCTGATCCGTCGGGAGTGTTAAAATTTGCTAAAATTTGTTAAAATTTGCTAAAAATCCTGCTGGTTTGTCCTGCAGAGAACTGCCAGGATCACTGGGATCACGGGAGCGACCAGCCTTAGTCCTTAAATGCACCTTTTCCCCATTTTTCTGGTTGGAATGTGCCAGGAATGCTCACTCTGGATTACATCCAGCCGGGATCCATCCCGGGGACTTTGGGGTCTGCTCGGCGCGTGTTCCGTTGCTGGGGGATGGATTTGAAGCTGTGCATCTCCTGGGGCTTGGATTTCCTGTCTGGGCTTGTGTTTCCAACCTGTTCCAAAAGGAGAGAAGAGGAGAGAGCGCTTCCCTTCCACAGGGAAAGGAAATAATCACTAACACTGGGGTGGGGCCGTTTCTCCACCCGATCCCTGATAAATCCCCGACAGTCCATCGCCGCCTCGTCGGACCCGGAGTTTTCCATCCGTGTTTTCCCTGGCGTTTTTGTGTGCGCGGGAGTTCGGAATGCCGTGGATGAGGGGGGGTGGGCTGTGCTGCTCATTCCCTCCCCGAACCTCCGCTGCTGAGTTTCCATTTTCCTTCGGATTCCAAACCCACCCGCGGGAAGTTTGACCCGTTGTCGCAGCGGTTCCACCCCGGAGCCGCTCGCTGTTCCCGCAGCTCCTGCCAGAGATTGCGGGATCCAAACGTGCGGCTCCTCATTAAGGACGTTACCTAAATTGGTGGAGCGAGAGCAGGAATTGCTGCCAAATCCCGCTCCCGGAACACTCTGGGCTTTGGCGTCGCTCCTTCCGACGCAGCTCCGGGATCACTCCGGGATCACTCCGGCGGTGGAGGAAAACGGAGGAGTTTTTCTGGGGGCAGGAAGTTGATGATGACACCACTGTGAGAGAGTGGGAATGATGTTTCCCCAGCAAAGCCAGGAAATTCCAGGTTAAAGCCTGGATGTTTAACGGCTGCTCTTGGGGAGCTGGGTGCCCTTAGGGAATTTCACCCATCTTCAGGGATAATCTTGGAAAGAGACACCGGAGTGTTTTGTGCTTCCTGAAAAGAGATATTTTCCATGCTCCAGGGAATTTTGTTCATCTTTAGGGTTAATCCTAAAAAAAGAGGATTTTCCAGGCACCTGGAAAACAACCAGGTTTGTTCGTATTCCACATAATCCTGAAATTTCCTCTTTTATTCCCAATACACCGGCAACTCTCTGTCCAAGCCTTCCCAATTCTTTTTCCCTGTTCTTCCAAATTTTTGGTTTGGGGTGAATTCTTTTCCCGGCAGTTTCTGTTCCTTGATGGCAGAATTTTTATCCCAACCTTTAACTGCAAAGCCCCGAATCCAGCAGAGCACTTTGCCTGTCTCCCTTTCCCTTTCCCCCTCTGCCCCGAGGAATGCGGAAAATCAGGATTCGGAGGCATGGCAGGAGCACACGCCTTCCCCAGGCTCAGAAACTGCCAAAATCCAAAGTTACAGAATAGATCTTTGGTTTTGTTGCCTTCTGGGAAGGAGCTCTGGATTGGGAAGGAGCCTGGGAAGGAACTCTGGGTTGGGGAGGAGCTCTGGATTGGGAAGGAGCTCTGTCTGGACATTTATTTTCCCTGCAAGAGCAATTGGGGGGATTTTTTTGGTTTGGGTTTCGTTTTTTCTTTTTGCCTGGAAGGAGATTTTTAAGATTTATTTTCCTTAGGACACATCTCCTAATTCCAGCATTTTGGTCTTGCTTCCCCTTCCCTGGCACACAGCTCAGAGCGGGATGGGGCAGGGATTTGCTCCCTGTAAATGTCCGAGAGGAACTTCCTGCTTTCTCACTGCTCCCAAACATTCATTTCTTATATCATTTACTCCCAGCTCCTTATCCCTAATGCAGAAAGAAAAGCTCCACCACCTTTGAGAGGAGAATTGGGTTTAGTTCCTGAATTTTCCAAGGAAATGCCCGTCGCTGGCGGAGCCGTTGCGGCGAAATGGGCGTTGTTCTCCCAGTTCCCAGTGAATGAACAGGCAGTCCTGGAGCACAGTTAATTCTAGGGGGGAGGTTTATGGCCTGGCTCCTCGTTTTATCCTCCACCACACCATCCATGTGCGCTGTCGGTGTCGTTCCCAGATTGATGCCGAGGAGCCGATCCGGCGCCGCCGACCCCGTCCGTGCGCGGCTCCATGAGCCACGGCCTCGGCTATGGACATCGTCCTGTCGGATTTTGTTCGCTCAACGGGGGCAGAGCCGGGGCTGGCCAGAGACCTCCTCGAAGGTAGGAAGACTGGGAATAACTGGGGAAGAGCCAGGGACGGCTGATGGGGAGGAAAGAAGGGTTGGGAAGAGGGCCCGGAGCTGGGGGCTGGAGCTGCAGGGCTGGGATAGGAAAATCTTGCCCTGGGGACGCTCTGCCTCGGTTTCTCCTTACACATCCCTTGGGTGATGGATTGCAAACGTTGGGAAGGAAAGGGCAGCAACCAGGAGGGTGGATTCTCTTCCTCCATCCTCTCCATGTGCTGCCACAAGCAGCACAACTGAAGGGGTTTTTTTCTTTCTGTCAGCAGTGCCTTAAAAATAAGGATTTTCTCCTTTATATCAGTTGTATCTTAAAAAAATGAAGATGTTTTTTCCATTTTAGCAGCAGTGCCTTCAAAAACTTTAGGATTATGGTTCTTTCCAGTGGCACTGCCTCCTGAAGGGAGGGATCATTGTGATCGTGTTTAGTGGGTGCTGCAGGTGATCCCTTTCTCCCTGTGCTCCTGACAGTGGGAAGGGTGCAGGAAGAAGGATCCCAGCTCAGTTTTGAGGCTGTGAAGGTGCTCGTGGGCGTTGCCTTTGGGTTCACATTGGGCAGAGGGAGTGAGTCAATCCTGGGAATGCTGGGGGACACAGACACTGTGTGTGCAGAATTATCCCAGCTGGAATTAGAGCGACAGGCCCCCCTGCCTGAATTTCTTCCCATCATCCCTGGTTTATGCCATTCAGCTCATTTTTGCTGTTGCTTGAACCCAGGAACAGCTGCAGCAGCAGCACCTGCTCCCGGCTGGGATTCCTGGCAGGAATGAGTTCAAAGCCCTGAAATTGGTGCCAGAATCCAGGTCTTTAGGCAATTTTCTCTACCTTGGCTCGGCACTGGCAGCATCAATCTGTAGCTTTATTTTTCCTCTTTAAACTCTCAATACTGGCAGGTTTCAGGGCTTCACCCCTGGAATTTCGGGAGCCCAGCGTCGCCCTGGTGGAATTGGGGCGAATCGTGGGTTTGGGTGTGTCTGAGTTCTGATTCCAGGGTTTGGGTCGCTCAGCCTCACATCAGGGTTTCAGATCTCGTCTGTCAGAGGGAATATTTTGGTTTGTGATGGGAAAGGTTGAGCGGATTTTCCATCCAACCTCCCCCTCCCCCCCCATTCCCGCTTGCTGCGGGAGTTGATTTATTTTGACAACGGCACTTCCAGCTCGTTTTGGTGACGCTGCTGTTCCTCCGGCAGCCTCGGAGGAGCTGACAGCTGCAGGGGTGGGAATGAGGGAAAACACAAGGATTTTCCTTTTTTGGGTGATATTAGTGAAGCAGTCGGATAAATAGATGCATAAAGTGAAGTTTGAGGGCGAGGTGAGCGATTTAAGTCGCGTTTTTCCGTCTGCGCTTTGAGTTCCCTCCACGTGTCAACTGTCCGGTGGCAGCGACAGGTCTGGTGGATCGTGGAACCACGGAGTGGGTTGGCTCATCCTGTTCATGACAGGGACACCTCCCACAAGACCAGGTTGCTCCAAGCCTTGAACGCTTCCAGGGATGGTCCATCCACAGCTTCCCTGGGCAGGGCCGCCCCGCGCTCGGTTTCCAACAGGATGTTTAGGACCTGCCTGGTTTTCCGTGCCGTGCGAGGGTGACCAGTCCAATCCCTTCCCGTGCAGGCAAGAACTGGGACCTGAGCGCGGCGCTGAGCGACTTCGAGCAGCTCCGGCAGGTGCACGCCGGGAATTTGCCGCCTTCCTTCAACGAGGGCCGCGGCGCCCGACCCCCGGAGCCGCGGGAGGCGGCACGGCCGGGGCGGCCGCCCCTGCAGCGCCAGGATGACGTCGTGCAAGGTCAGTGTCCCACAACCGGGGGGTCCCTCAAACCTCCTCCTGCGCCACCAGACCTGCGGTGGCTTCTGTGGGATTTGCTGCTCAGGTGGGTTTCTTCTTCCTCCCCCCCCCCCCAGAGAAGCGCCTGTCCCGAGGCATCTCCCACGCCAGCTCCACCATCGTGTCCCTGGCGCGTTCCCACGTCTCCAGCAACGGCGGCGGCAGCAGCGAGCACCTGCTGGAGATGCCCATCTGCACCTTCCAGCTGCCCGACCTCACCGTGTACTCCGAGGAATTCCGCAGCTTCATCGAGCGGGATCTCATCGAGCAGTCCATGCTGGTGGCACTGGAGCAGGCTGGTGAGTGCTGGCTCCGTGCTGGTGGCATGTGCCATAAACAGTTTGGCAGTGGGACTCTTGGGAACACCCCAGGATGTCACACGGATGCATATCCGACAGGGAGTCATTCCATCCTTTTTATGGCCTGGTGCAAGGGCTGAGGAGGAGCTGCTTCCTTCACCCAGGGACACCGAGTGTAAATAGCCCAGGGCTGTTGTCACCACGCACAGATGAGTGGGGACACCCAAAAACTGGCATTGTCTCTCTCCTGGAGCATTCCAGTGCCCTGCTCCATCCAGCCACCCCACGGAGAGACAGGGAAAAGGGAATTCCTGTGTTACACAGACAGCAGCTCATCCTGCTGACAAATCCGGGATTGATTTTGGACACAAGGTCGATGCTGCTGCTCCAGCACCCACTGGTTCATTGTGTGCCTGGGGAGGAACCCCCTGCCAGGGCACATGGATTTGCTTTCCATCGGTCTCCCGAATTTAGATTTACAGCTCCCAGGGGATCTGTAAATAAGGTTGAGCCAGGGAATGGGTGGGACCTCTGTGTTGACAGGGAAAAACCCCGTCCCTGGCACCAGGACACAGGAGGGGTCTCAGGAGGGTCTACACCCCCAGTTGTTCCCGTGGCTGCTGCACACACTGGAAAACACGTTGGAGTGTCCAACCTCTCCCTCTCCTGCTCAGGTGTTGCTGTAACAAATATTCTCATGTTTTGGGAATGAGCACTTGATCCCAGCGATCCCGTTACACGGCACCGGCGCAGCCGTCGGGTCTGGTGCAGATAAACCCCGGATCCCATCCCAGCAGGCTCGGGGGCTTGGGTTCCTGTGGCCCAGCACGAAGGGGGCGAGGGGGCTGGGGGTGGCTGGGTGCTCCATCCGTGGGCCGGGGACGCTTCCAGGCGTGCTGGGACACCGTTAATGGGAAGGAATTTAGAGTTTTAGAAGACGCCTTTGGGAGACTCTGTGGGTTGTTATAAACGAGTGTTTGTCTGTAACAAAGGGCTGTAATGCAGCTATGAAATATTCCAAGCTGGATTCCAAGTAGGGCTTTGAGCGTGGTGCTGCGATCTGGGGAGACTGCCGTTATTAATTTAGCACATGCCGTCCCTTAGGGGATTAAGGAAATGTTTTATAGCCCAATAAATGTTCAGATCCTCTCCCTGCGCATCCAGAGATCCCGTTACGCCACTGTGGCAGAGTAAGTGCTTCCAAAGTGGCTGTAAATTGCAATGGGATCCTCTGGGAATGCCTTGAATGTGCTTGGAGTGGTGTGGAAAGGTCTTGGTAGAGCTGAAACCTCAGCCCTCGCCGTGGCCTTGGTGTCCTTTGGCACAAACCCTCGTGGGTCAGGCCTTGCCCTGTGTTGGGAAGCTGCAGAGTGGGTTCAGTTGTGGCACATCCCTGGGACACTCCCTCATGTGATCACACAGTGATCCATGAGAGTGGATTCCCGGTAGCCTTAGGGGAGCCATTTGGGTTTTGGATGAGACAATTCTCATTTCGGGCTGGGAGGAGCTGCCAGTTCCTCCCCACTGCCGTGACCTGTTTGGGTGGCTCCTGTTGGAAGGAATGATGGGATTTCCCCAAACACACCTTTGGGTGCAGGTCCTGATCTGGTGCTCTGTGGGGTGACACTGGACCCCCCAGGGTCGTGGTGCTGGATGCAGAGGGAGCCTCTGGATGCTGCTGGATTTTCCCGGCGTGCAGATCTGCTACTGCCACTCTGGGAAGATCCCTCGCGCTCCTGAATCGAGTTGTCTTCCCTGCAGAGCTCTCGGGGGTGTTTCCTAAGAACCACACGCAGAGAAATGTGTTGTTTTCAATCCTTCTGGGCGGCCTCTTGGCCCTTCCGCCGCCTCGACGGGAGCAAAACATTGGGAGCAGGGTTGGGCTGCGGTTCCTTTGGAGACGACTTCTCTTGCGTAACCGGAGTAGCTACAAACACTCAGGCCCAGAAATACCTCCCCAAGGTGTGTCCCCTCGGATGGCACCCAGCCAGAGGTTGCACAACCTCCAAAATGCCAACCGAGACTCCCAATTCCATGGAAAAGGGCATCAGATGCTCCGGGAACGGGGGAGAAGTGGATCAAAAGGGTCCCTCGGTGGTGTTTTGTGGGGGGGCAGCTGCTGTGAGGCGCCGCCTTCGCTCCCCTGGCCCTGGGCCACTTGGCCAGGCTCCCGTCTGGGCCGTGCCAGGAGCTGTGTGGAGGGAACAGCCGGCTTTTCCACGCGGAGCCATTGTCCCCGGGCTCGGTGTGGAACAATTCCAGCTCCGGCGGGTCCCTCTCCCGGCGCAGGGGACAGGAACGACCCACCTGCGTCACACCGGGCTCGTGGGGGTGTGTTTTCCCGTGTCTAGGGGTGTTTAAACCCCGGGTTTCTACGCTCAGCTCCTCCCTGAGGCTGTGCAAACCATTTCCAGCAACCCCGTGTCTGCACGTCGGGATCCCTGGCAGGGACCGGGCTCAGGAGGAGGGAGAGGCTCCTTGGAAACGCTGGGAAAGGGCTGGTTTCCTGCAGGAGCAATTTAAATACAACTTGCTGGAAGCCTGAACAGCCTTTTGCAGCCAAAAACCTGCCTGTTGCACGGGAGCCAAAAACTACTGGGGAACGAAGCAGCCAAGGAGGGGTGTTGAGGGCAGGGCAGGGTGAGACACAGCCTGGGGGGTTCAGAGTCCTGATTCAGCCTCACTTTGCTCCCTCAGGAAGGGCTGGACCTCCAGGCTGAGCCTCCAGCCACGCTGGGCTCACTGGGCATTTTTTCCTACCTTCTATTTTTAGCTGCTCTCGAGTCAAAGCACCACAATGACCCAAAACTCTCGGTTTAAAGGGCGCAAAGCGCCGTCAGTTTGTGTTTGTAGCAGGAAAGCTGCTGGGATCAGCAGAAATCCCAGACTGTTCTGCCTGAAAACCAGTGAGCAGGGAAAACCAGGCTGTGAGAGGGTCGAAACTGGAGGGATTTGGTTCCAAGAGGCAGAAAAAAGCTGGTTTTCCCTGGAGAAGCTGTTTGTGCTGGGTGCTCCAGGAGGCATTTTCAGCCTGATGGGCTTTTTGGGGAGGGAAATAAGAGGGGTGGGGGAGAAATCAGTAGAGAAGAACTGGTCTGGGTGGAAGTCCTGACTCCTATTCCTGTTTAATTCTGATTTGGGTGACCCTGTTCAGGCCCTTTCCTGGCGTCCTCTGGAAGTTTTACAGCTCCAACCTCCCCTTTTTGTTGCTTTATCAACGTCCTGACTCTTCCCCCCTGCCCTGGGACGGGTCTGTCCCTGTTCCTCAGCCCTGGGACGGGTCTGTCCCTG